TGAGCAATTTTAATGTGCGCCTATCCCTGTGATCATGACAACTATCAAAGATCTCCAATATTTCACACAACTCTTCAAGAATCTCCGAGTCATGTTTGTTGTCATTATCCATCAGTCTTCTAAAAAAAAACTTTGCGGTTGGATAGATTTTCAGAAGTGATGATATGTCTTCATTTTTTTTCTTGGAAAGACGACTGGTTTCAGCCACACCAACAAGTCTCTTCCAAATATTCATGTGGTTTTGAGTTCCAATAAACTCAATACCCCGGAGCTTCTTCTTTATTTTCTCTGCAGTGACTTCATTCCGGGACATATAATAATATGGATCTTTGGTGCTCAGCCGACACTTCCACCATGTAAGCACAGAATTTTGGTGCACAATCCTGGATGTTACTTGGTTAGCAGCCAATTGCCTCTTGGAAGGTATTGAAGCATCTTCTCGCAAAGAAAACTGTCTAAACAACCCTTCGTCTCTGAGACCATCCATCACAAGATGCTCTACCATGTTCAAAAACCCAATACTTGCTAGATATCCTCCGGCGTATATATGTGCAGGTTTCGATGTAAGAAAAGCTGCTGATAATCGATATTGAGATTGACCTGTCGCAGCTCTGTCACGGAGATAAGTATGAGTCTGGAAGATGTTAAATGCCAACGCAGATTTCAGAATATGTTGAACAGTTTCGTCAACAATCAGCGTATTTTGATACGGCCAGTGTTGTCCCAAAACCTTGGACGCATGCTGTGCAAGCTGAACTTTTAGATCCTCAACTACATGACGATGCTCGGGTGCCGCATTAGGAATGAATACCCTGTTTATCTTATCTACCATTGAAAGAAGAGCTTTCAGGCCACGATCTGCTTGGTTAGGCACACTGTCTACCACACGTGAAGGTTTGAGCAATTAATGACGATTCACCTCTCATGAGTGCAATTCTAGGAAAATCAAGATCGGCTTACCTTGCATCTGGTTTTTAGTAGGTGTTGCGCGCCAATGAGCAGTAGTTGTCAAGCTCTTCCATGAATTATCATGTACACTATCCCAAAAAGCGTCTTGAATTCTTATGTCATTTTCACCTATGAAGCATGAAAGTGAATCAAACATCAGCTCCATCATCCTTTCAAATTGACGATCAGGGCCAAAGTTGCCAAAACATTCGCAGATACAAGGTCATCATTTCATACCGGAAAGACAACCATGTATAGTGTCATCATCTTTGATGGGTCCCAATTCTACTTTGGTGAACAAATTGCAGATAACTGAACCAAAGTAGGGCAAAATTAAAAGAGACGCCAGAAGTGTTCTATGCTTCATCTTGAAAGGTAGTCAAATGTTGTGGTTAAAATTAACACACAGTGTTATAGATAGTTGGATTGAAGAAACGTGGGAGAAAAGTGAGAGAAATACTCCAGGTATTCTTCGCTCCATCTTAAACTTTTAACTACGTATGGGTACCCGCAGATTGCTACTACATAACAGTTTTGCATTGGTCCAACAAGTCTTGTATCAACCTGTATCTCTTGCTGCGTATGTTCAACATCGCACCAGAAACTGGTTTCTCATCATCATATGCGCAGCCTGACGATCACCTAATGGAATGTTTCAAAGGTCTATGTAGCTGAAAATAGATCAGGGCTAGGACGGTGAATGTGCAACCCATATATGTCGCTGAGCCTGAGTAGATTATGTATGGGGTTTTCCTTCCATTGAAGTTCGTGTGTGAAGGTGTAACCACGCTTGAAAACTGACCTAACTGCGTAAGTCCTATCGCTGGACCGTACCAGTCCGCTCCAGCCAGATTGTATGCACTTCTGAGGTAAACTCATTGCACGTTCAAGATCAAAGCAGGATTTTTTTATCAATCCCACACAGCTCAAAGGTTTGAATCAATCAACTCTATCGCACTATTTGCCACGACACTTCTCTGGAAACATCCTTCTACCAGAAATCGGCAAAATTGACCCGTTTTTTACTGAGTCCAATTTTGAAACATTGCAACATTGAATTTGAATGAGACTTATTGAGATGGTTGCGCTCTAGAGAAGATGTTTCCGAAATCGTGATGTCTGTAAAATTCAAGTTTTCTCGGAGAGATGTTCAATTTTACGAACATTCCCCAAACTTGAATGTCCGGAAATGAAAAGCCATGTAAATATTTAGTCGCGAAATTCTCTTCAGGGCTTCCATTCTTGAAAAATACGATCCTTATTTTGTAAAATTTGCGAACATTAAGCTTCGTGAGAAAATGAAGCATGTAAAAGTCCAGATTCCTTATCGAATCTCGAATTTTGCGTCTCTTCGTTCACGGACTTTTCATTCCGTGAAATATGATGGTCGCAAAATTGTATCCAAGGAGTGTAAACTATAATTTTACAACCCATCTTACAATTGAAAAAGGGCAAGTCAAGTCCACAGCCGTTCTCAAAAAGGATGCTTTTTTATTTTATTTTTTCCATCATTGGATAAGTCCCTCGTGAGCTTCCTTGCCTCTTGCTCGAGGCACGAAATGCAAGATTGGTCCATGAAGAGAATAACGTCGTGTAAAGGTGAATACGAAAGGGAAATAGATGAGGAGCAATTTAACCCAATCCGGTTTAGCGAACAGGTCAGAGCACATAGAGAGTGCAAAGCAAACCCGCTCAAATACCTCAGCTCTCTGAACAGTTCCCGCTCCTCCCCTCGTCCAAACCTTTCTAACTCTCTCCTTCATAATCATCCCAAATCCATCTTAAACACTATTTCTATTTTATAAGATCGATAACCAACTTATTTTGACCTCCCACCCACCCAACAGTCAAATTTAAGAACGATAGGAGGAACACCGATGGCAAGAGAGAGTTCTCACTAAATGAAGAACTCTCCAATGAACGTCCCTGGTGAACCTCCTCCACAAACAGGCCTCCCAGTAGAGATAGTTCACCAAAATAAAATCCTTACGCAGAGGCCCAACTCCCGCTAGATACCTTCCCTCACCTAGACATAGACTAGGCAAGGGAAGGATGACCCTTTTATGCAATAAAATACATGATGTTATAGAATAGAATGGACCGCCCAGCTCAAACAACAGCGCACGAGTGACTTACATGATCTCTGCTTTGGAATACATTCGATCCAATCGCACGTGGCCTTGAGCTTTGTACATATGATTGGTATCCGTGAAATTCTATCTCAAACCAAATGGAGAAATGGAAGGTGAAGTATTTCCTACAACTTGAAAAATCAAAATCAAACTATTTTCTAGAATCTTCTTACCCAAAAGAAGCAGGAAAAGGAGGATTATGTACTCAAGCCAAACGAGGCTGCACCCATGAGGAAGGGTGTTTCGCCGCCATAGCGTTTAGAATTGATAGTCTATCGATGGATGTGATGAAAATACATGCTTTGTGCCTCGTCATGGCGAAAAGGCCCGTGCGTTCTTGGTACGGTTAAATCAATCAAACAATAGGGTGAGGCGAGGTAAGCAGATAGCAACAGATATAAATAGAGACTGAGTGAGCAAACACGAATCCCAACAAGCAATCATCACACATTCCTTCAGTCTCTTACATAGAATATTAAAATCCATATCTCTAATTATTTCTCTTACCATCAAGTTTTGAAAAGATGAATATCCAAATCCAATTCATGATGTCTGTGATGCTTTGCTTTGCATCGTCAAGTCTTGCAGCTTCAGCAGACAGTTTCACTTGTGACGCAAGCTTGGAAGATGCCCCTGCCAAAACACTTCCAGCTCCAAGTTGGCCAATTGACGCTGCACCAGGTTACAGTTAGTATCTTTCTTTTTTGATACTTTCTAGTCATTTAGAATTCAAGGCTAAGGATTACTTTGGACTAAAATTGACATTATATTCTTTAAGTCTGTGGTGTGAAGGATCTAGGCAATTCGATTGTGTACCATCATTGTCGAACTTGTAGCTTGACTACTAGTTGAGTTCTTCTCTATAAGCTGAGAAAAATGTTTTACGATTTAGACGTAATCCAAATTATTGAACTGATGATTGATGTTTGAATTTTTTGTCACAGCTGGGCAAAATTGTCAATTGACCAACAACGCAACCGCTCCTATCGCTGCTTCTGAGAAATGTGATACTTATGGGCCAGATAGTATCATTGATATTACTAAAGATACAAAATATAGTTCGTTGAAAAATTCATGTATTCCTTGTTCAAACATGATGTTTTTGAGGAAATATAATCCTCATGACACTCAACACTGATCATCATACTTTTCTTTTTCTTTTTATCAATAGATTGCAAGAACACTCAAGATTACACTTGTCTTGCCATCACCAACCCATCTGGTAAGCCATCCTTTTCACTGATCTTGTATTGCTTTTTACAAGAAAATTATATATGTTAAAATTCTTTCTTGGAATCTTTCCGCTAAATAACAGTCTGTAATGAGTGTGTGGCATACCCATAATAAAATTCACCAGGTCCTAATCTGAGGAGGAATTATGAAGTGATTCGACTCAAATAATATGATGGATTGAAAGTTTTTTGGTTGGTTATAGGGCTTTCTTTGAAAAAAACTTCATTTTGTCGTTCCAAGAAACTTTCCTTCATTGAGCTTCTCAAAATTTTGAAACTTGATTTTTGAAATCTCATCTCAATACTTTTTCTGCACCCACCCTTTTCAATGTTATTATAAGATAAACGCTAAGGTCCTCGAGTGAGGTGAACATGGACGCTTTGGTTCGGCGGCATGGTTGGTGAGAAGATTGACATACATATATAGCTGAGTTATCACTGCCAGCTTTCTGGACTTGATGTTTCCAGGAATCAAGTCTTCCACTCATCTGCACCGGATTTGAAATCTGACATTTCTAAAAGTAAACAAACTAGACTCTGGGCAGACAGCAAGGGCAGGCCGCAGATCAGGATTCAGCGCTAACCTCGAGATGATCTGATTTTATTTGAATGAAATCATCAATGTGTAAGATTCGACTCCTGATAAGAGGGGCTTAGTTAAGCTGAACGACAAGGTCTCTCTAGCTTTGAACAAGAGGAATTGTACTGTTGAACTTGCTCAGGAAGTCTAAAACACTTTGCAAGAGATAGCCATCCAGACTTTGGATTACAATCAATTCTGAGAACAACAAAAAATTGAAAAAGGATACAAAAATAACACAAAGCGCTCTCAAAACACTCCAGGCAACTGAAAGATTTAAGCCGATTGAAGCATCATCACACAGTGATGATTTGTAACAGATCACTCAACAGAGAAACTCATGAGATCTAA